CCTTTTTTTTTTCTTCTTTTGATTGATTAATTGACTGATTGATTGATTGATTTGCATCGGGGGGTCGCCTCTCCCCTATGAACACACACACACCCACAACGCGCGGCCTTTTTTTTTTCCTTTTTTCTTTTTTTCTTTTCTTTTGATTGGTTGATTGATTGATTGATTGATTAATTGATTGATTAATTTGCGGTGGGGGGGTCGGCTCTGCCCCGCAAAAAATAAAAAAAAAATTGTGACAATGTATATTACCATGTTCTAAGGGTAGATTCATTTGATTTTGCTTTTCTTTTTTTTTCTTTTTTTTCGCTTACGAACTTTTTTCTTAAAATTTTTTAAAAAATACTAAGGGGCCCGTCGAGACCCCCCCTACCATCCCTGGGGGCGAACCCCCCCCCCTCCCCCTCACACCAGGCCCTTGCACGTTCCAACGGAGACCGTCCGTACGCCCGTACAGTCGTGCGTCCATTCGTACTCACGAATCATACGGAGACCCCCCGTACGACGTACGGGGGACGACACTGGAGCCGCCCTTCAAAGTCCTACGGGGTCCACGATGGCAACCCTGCATGCCATTTTTTGCGCTGAGGCGACGAGGTTGTCGGGCGCTGCCAATACTTCATTTGACCGCATGCATACAGGAAGCAATGTTGTTTGTCTGTCGAGTTTGTCCCTGACAAGATGACGTGCGCTGGAGGCGATTCGTTTCACCTCCACTCAAAGCAAATGATTATTAAGCATATCGATGATGGTTTACATGAACACCTTGAAGTGAAACGGACTCCGAGTCTCCTTGTACATTGTTTCCATAAGCCCCAAACCCGCACCTTGCCTAACCTCCTCCACTCCTCCAAGTCGTCGAGGAACCATCTTCACTTTGTTGCTATGCAACTTCTCTCGTTCCGTGTCCCATTCAGTTGCGCAGAGCCTTTTTGGTCCATACCTCTCTTCGAGGTCCTTGCACGACATGAAGAAGTCGTCGTTCCATTCGTCATCTGCCCTCCCCTCAGCGTGGAACACAACGTAGTTGAACAGGCGAACCATGTATCTCTCTTTGTGCATGATGTCGAGGAGACACTCAGTGCTCACTCTTGGAGGTGAGACTTTGACGTTCGTTACCACCACCTTTCCCTTCATGAGCAGGAGCAGCGCGACTTCTCTCTCGCGGCATGTCATGTCCCCGAAGTTCTTGAAGTACAAAGGACACAGATCCTTTTGGGACACGGTGGAGCCTTCGGGACTATCTCTTGCGTATATGCAATGGTACAATATCCTTTGTCCCTTGCTTTCGTCGGTGTACAGTCCTGACAGGCGCCCCTCCATTGTCCCGGGCATGTCAAGCGGGATCTTGCCATCACCAATTGGTAGCTTACCTTCCTCGAATATTGCGAAGAATCTCTCCACCAGTGACCATACTACGTCGGTGGACGTGGCGAGGTTCATGTACCCCCGAAGTTTATTACTCCAACCCTTACTGTATTGGTTCTCGAGCGTCTGTTTCACAAACGCCTTCTCACACGCCTTTCCCATGGAGGCCCTCGGGAAGTTTTGCCACTTTTTCTGGTGCGCAACGACGAGTCAACAGCGACGTCATCCTTATCGTTGACCTTAGCTTTAGGAGTCTCGATTTTGTTGATATCGATCCACCATTGCCTTATATCACGCACAACGTCCTGGAAGCTCAACATTATGGCACAATTTTCACGTGCGTTGTTGAAGGGGAAGACATTAAAGTACCCTTTAGAGTACACGTGGAGGCCATAGATTTTGACGGCGGCGGAGCCCTTTGCCACCAATCGTTTCATGGACTCGGCGGTATGTTGTCCGCAGACAGTGTACCAATATAACTCTGCAGGGTCCTTTTCCAAAAATCCGGCCAGCGTGATTCGTCTTCCCTGCCCGCTCACAATGTCATGCGGATCAATTGGCGCAAGGACGAGCTCCGACCTTTCTCCTCCCGGTCGCTAGTAATGGAACTTTCGATGGCATTCTTGATGCCTCGTATAATGTTGTCAGACAAAGAGCAGTGGTTATAAACAGGGTTGTCACGCGGGGATCCCCGGTGCCCAAGCCGAGGTGGGAGTTTAACCCCCGGAACCCCGCAGCGGGGTTCACCGACCCCCACACCCCGCCATGATCGCCATCCACCCCCACCCCTGCCCCAA